CCCTGGAAGTGTCCAAGGCCAGGTTGGATGAACTTGGAGCAACCTGGGCTAGTGGAAGGTGTCCCTGCCCATGGCAGGGGTGGCACTGGGTGGGTTTTAGGGTCCCTTGGCAGTGAGTGGTTCCGTGTTGCAGTGCCAGCTGACTGTGCTCTCACCACGCAGGGTCCTGCGGGTGTACAGCACCCAGACCAAGAGAGTGGCATTCAATGTCACCAAGATGCCATCTGGATCAGGAGCTGAGGGAGAGGTACGTTGTTCTGCTGCTCTGGGACCGGAGAATGTGCTGGGGGATATCTTCCATGAGTTTTCTGTTCCGTGAAACCAAAAGGGCAAGAATTTGCCATTCCTGTGATCCATGTAACTAACACAGGATCATCAGGTTTGGAAGCGACCTTCAAGATCACCCAGTCCCACCAACACCACCGGAATCACCCCCAATCCATATCCCCAAAAACTTCTTGCAGGTTAATCTGATCAAAGCAGCCACACAATGCCTTTGGTTGTCAATGTTTATAATGGTCTGGAAAAATACTATGTATGGTGAATTTTTAACAGGAAAAACTTCAAGCATGTCTACCAGTGGCTGTAAGTTTATTCAAGGCTATGACATAGCAATAATATTTTAAAGTTAGCAGCCTGAAGTTTTCCAGAAGGTAGGCTGGTTTTTAAGAAAAACATGACTTAGAGAGAATTTCCTGAATTTTCCCCTAACTCTAAGAGAGAAAACAAAGAGCTTTTTTTCACCAAAACAGTTCTAAGTGATAATAAAGTAACACCTCCAAGCTGGCTATAACCTTTTTAATTCCTTCTATTCATTCTTTTTTCTTTTCTTGGGGAAAGCATTTGTTAGAGCTTTATGGAGACTAAAGACCAGGCTTGAGAGCAGAGAGTTTGCCATTAGAGGAGTTCTCTTTCAACCTCTAATACTGGAGTTAAAATTAAGTGCCTGAGGAACAGGCCCTCACACTGACTGTTAAATGATGTTGTTCTCCAGGTTCTGACTATTTTTGGATTACTGGTGTGCTCTGGGAGTGTTTTGTTCAGCTGAAGAGGGATCAAGGCCTGTTTTTCTTAGCTGTGAAGAATTTATAGCAGAGCAGAAAGTGGAGTTTGGAGGGGCCGTGGTTCCTTCAAACATTTGCTTTTAAAAGTTCCACCGGGTCGAGTTGTGCAACTGGATGTTTCCCCTCCCTGGAATTCCAGCTTCATGGCACTCCTGACAACCCTCTTTTCCCTGGTTTGCAGGCCAGGAGCTACCGGATGTTCCACGATGACAGCATGAAGTCCTTCTTCCGGCGGCTCAGCTTTACTCCTGACGGCTCCTATTTGCTCACCCCAGGTATGGGAACGGGGGCTGTGACTGAGGTGGTGTCACAGCATCAGCCAGGTTGGAAAACAGCTCCGAGATCTGGAAAACAGCTCCGAGGTCATGGAGTCCAACCTGTGGTGGCACCGGGAAGGAGGGACATGGACACGGCCCCTGGGATGAGGGGTGGGACGAGGTGTGGGGTCACTGTCGGTGCCAAACACAGACACAGAGTCACTGAGGCTGGAAAAGACCTCCAAGGTCACCCAGTCCCCCCTGTGCCCCATCCCCACCTTGTTCCCCAGCCCAGAGCACTGAGTGCCACGGCCAGGCCTTCCTGGGACACCTCCAGGGCTGGGCACTCCAAACCTCCCTGGGCAGCCCCTGCCAAGGCCTGAACACCCTTTCCAGCAGGAAATTCCTCCTCCTGTCCAAGCTGAGCCTCCCCTGGCACAGCTGGAGGCCATTCCCTCTCCTCCTGTCCCTTGTTCCCTGGGAGCAGAGGGGACCCCTCCCAGCTCCCCCCTCCTGTCAGGGGGTTGCAGAGCCAGAAGGTCCCCCCTGAGCCTCCTTTTCTCCAGGCTGAGCCCCCCCAGCTCCCTCTCTAATCTATTCTCATTTGAATGTGCCTCAGTATTGCTTTCCAGCTCCTCAGGGATGCTGATTTATCCTAATAATTCCATTCCTCATTCTCCCTGCTGAAGAAAACACAGTGCTCCTTTAGCACTCCATAACATCAACTTCCTCCTGCGATAAAAATGAGATTTATAATGCTTTTCTGAACTGAAACACGTAAATTGCAACACCAGAACTCTGTTAAAAGAGAAACAAAGGACAGTGAGTGGTTTCTTTTAACTGATCCCTCTTTGTTTGTGTCCTTCCTTAAGAACATTCTGCAGCCAGAGTGAAAAACAGCACTGCAAGGAGGGGATCAGGGTACAAGCACTGCTTTTGGAGATGTCTGGCAGCACCAAAAAGAAGCTTTGAAGGGGGGAAGTACATAAAGGAAACAAAACCAGCACTAGATAAATATTTGGGATGCCTTTTTAAGTTGTACTGGGGAGCTTTGGCCCGACTGACAAGCCTAATTCCTGAGAAGCTGAATGTTTATGGACATCAGGTGTGTGCTCAGGACCTTCCTGAGTGACGTTGTAACCTCTTATTTTCTCAGCTGGCTGCGTGGAATCGGGAGAAAACGTCACCAACACCACCTATGTTTTCTCCAGGAACAACCTTAAAAGGTAAGGGTTTAATAAGATTTAAAAAGGTGTGGTTTTATTTAAAAAAAAAAGAAAAAAAAGATGAAACAGTGGAGCTGTGTTTCCTGAAACCCCTGATTCTTTCTGGAAGGCCTGTGGGTCACCTGCCGTGTCCTGGGAAGGGAACTCTGGCCGTTCGCTGCTGCCCAGTCTACTTCGAGCTGAGAGGAGCATTTAATAAAGGTACTGTAAGTCCTTCAGGGAGTATGAATTTACAGCAAATATGGGAAAAGGCCACTCTGGCTGTTTGCTGTTTTTATGCCTCAGCCTTTTAGCATTCCATTTGGACAGTGTTGTACCACATCTTAGGAGCTGTTTCCTGATTCTTAAGACCCTCAATTCACCTTAAGCACCTTGTGAGTAGCTTTTGGTAGAGTGGATAAACGTTGTTACTTGGCCTCTCAAGCTACAGAAACGCTGTTTAATGTTTTTTCTTGAGCTATTAAGCATGTTGTGTTGAAAATAAATAACTTGGTTTAGCACTAAAGGAGTGATCCAGTGAAATATTTTCTCTCAGTCTCAATTACCCACATCAGAGAAGCACCAGAGAGTTGATGTTTGTTCAAGGAAGCCAAACCTGAAGCAGTGCTGGTGTTACTGGCCAGAACAGGAATTCTGAGGTGGGGAAAGGGTTGTATGAAGTGGCACAAGAACTTACCTGGGGATTGAAGTTCAGCCTTATTGTGAGCCCAGTGGGCCCAGCAGGGTTTATATTTTAACAAGACCAGTGTTACCCTGGTGAAAAGGCAGAGCTTTGCTCCTTTCTTTACAGGGTCAATTTGGAGTGTTCCCTAGAGGATTTAGAGATCACCTCTTGTATTTTCATTGTGTTCTTTAGATCCCTTCTAAGGGTGTGTTGCAAAGGAAGGAGGTGAGTGTCTGTATTTGTCTCTGGAGCTCCTCTAAAGGGAGACTGTAAAACTGAAGTTCATATAAATATGCTGACAAATTTGAGACTGTAAAACTAAAGTTCATATAAATATGCTGACAAATTTGAGACTGTAAAACTAAAGTTCATATAAATATGCTGACAAATTTCAGCTGGAAAATATAGGACAAACTTTTCAAAATAATAGCAATCCAGAGGGGGAAAAGCTCCTGCCAACTTCTCTTCAATTAAGACAACAGGGGACAAACTTCAGGCAACAGAAATGTTGTACTTGACATTAAATTAGACATTTTATACAAGTGCTGTCTTCTCAGTGCTTATCTAATCAATAATATCATCTTTATTATATCTGCAGTCACTACCTTGCAATAAATGCAAGAGAGAATTCTCAGTGTGTTCATTTCTTTGCTCTCTAGATGAGATCAGTCAGAAGTCGTGCCCTGCTCTGTTTAACCTGCCCTATCGGTTGGTGTTTGCTGTGGCCTCAGAAGATTCTGTGCTTTTTTATGACACTGAGCAGTCCTTCCCCTTTGGTTATGTCTCTAACATCCATTATCACACCCTGAGTGACATTTCCTGGTGAGTAATTGTTCTGTTCCTGGTGCTTGTTGTGAGAGGGGAAATTCCCTTTTTACCTGTCCAAGTTCCGTGAGGCATCTTTTGGGTTTATATTTAATTTGTGACATATGTGCGCTCACTGTCATCAGTGTCTGAAGAGCAAGCACCCCTTTTTTGCCCTGTTAACTGGAGAATTATGGTTCTTAATTAATTGGGGAAAAAGGTGCGAGTTCCCTGTGAAAATGGACATGGTAGATGCCCATGAAAAGTCCTCGTTGTTCAGGCAGCGTGACTGGGAATAAGGAAGTTGTTTGGAGGTTTTGGAAGTCACCTGAGTTCAGGTTTCTGTGCTCTGGTCAAAATCTGCTTTATCTGCACAATCCTGCTTCGTGGTTCTCCACATATGGGACAAAGTCATTGGTCTGACTCCCCACTTTTAATTTAATGTGGGAAATTAGAAAACTGAACCCAGTCGGGTTATCCCGCTCTGCTGCTCGGGGCTTAAATGTACACATGGACTTGGGGAAGGGAGGCTGAAAAGACAGGGACAACATGAGGGTGTGAGGGTTGGGAAAAAACAGTTCTGGCCTTGAATTTTACTGGAAAAACAATAAATCCCCAATAGGTCCAGCGACGGATCCTTCCTGGCCATTTCCTCCACGGATGGATACTGTTCCTTCGTCACCTTCGAGAAGGATGAGCTGGGAATTCCACTGAAGGAGAAGCCCCAGATCAGTGTCAGGACTCCTGGTGCAACAGAGAAGAAGGTGAAGAAGAGCCAGTCCCACAAATCCACCTCCCCAGGCTCCAGGCTGGCCGAGGGGACTCCTCCCGGCAGGAGCAGCGATCCCAGCCCTGCCAACCTGCAGCCCAGAACGCCCGGCACTGCCGGCAGGGACTCGCCTTCCACTCCTGTGGGCACCAAAAACGTTCCAGCCTCGTCCTCAGAGGAGAGGAGGAGCAGCCAGGCAGCCACCCCCAGCACTGGGGCAAAGCAGCCCCGCAGGGTTGCCCTCAACACTTTACAGGCCTGTTTCAAGGCGCCGAGGTGAGATTTACGGGGCCCTTTCCTGTCGTAAACACTGAGGCCGAGACAAGCTGGGCTTGTGCCACCTTCAAAGGTTGGGGTTTAGACAGAAATTCCCAGCCCTGGGTCTTGGTGGGAGCTGCCTTGACGTGGAACTTTTTTGTTCTAGTTCTGGAGGAGGTCAGAATGTCTCCTGAACCCTGAATGTGCAGCTTTTGGATTCCTGCCTGAAATGTGAGGCAGTGGCAGAGTTCACCTGGTGGCTGTGCCGTGGCCATATGGCAGCAATAGGGGTCTGTCTTGGGCCAGGAGTTGGGACTTGGATGATCCTTGTGCATCCTTTCCAACTTGGAATATCCTGGGATTCTGCCTTCAGGTTCCACTGTTTGTACAAAAACGGTACCTGAAGCCTTCAGCTGGCGAGACCCTTCAGATGTTAGTATTTAAATATTAAGTATTTAAATATTAGATATTAGAAATTGTTCCCTGTGAGGGTGGGGAGGCCCTGGCACAGGTTGCCCAGAGAAGATGTGGTTGCCCCTGGATCCCTGGAAGTGTCCAAGGCCAGGTTGGATGTGTCTTGGAGCACCCTGGGCTGGTGGAAGGTGTCCCTGCCCATGGCAGGGGGTTGGAATGGGATCATGCTCCATTCAACACATAAAGAGAATTAAAAATGTGCAGTAAAATTTATCTGAACTACTTTTACAATTAACTGGTTCTATATGAATTAAACCTTTAAGTAAAATATTTGTGGAAGTGATGTCCATAAAGCAACTGAACTATTTCTGCTCTTTTAAAGGAGAATAAACTTGATTTCACTGAAGCCAGATACACCCACCCCTGCAGATACAGACACAGCTCCTGGGCCTCCTTCCTCAGAGCAGGACCATGGTAAGCTTTTGTGGCTCTCAACATCCAGCCAAGTCTTTTGCCAATCAGTTTTTTCCATTATAGATTTATGTTATAAAAAAACCCCCAAACCTGGTTGCAAATTCTAAAGCTTCTTCATTGTCTCGATGTGTTTGAAAGGTGCTTTTGACAATATAAAATGTGTTCTCACTGTGGTGGTAGCTCTTGGGCAGCTGCTGTATGTCACTACAGGCTTTGTAATAGTGAAATGAAGAATAAATTCACCTGGATTTGATGTTCTCCAGGTCCTACATGTGGGTTTTAAAGACCCTTATCCTTCCAGCATATCATTGTTTCAGGTGCTGGACTCTCTCAAACCAGGGTTGTTTTTTTATTTTGGTGAGTGCTGAATTGTTTGTGAATTCAGCAAACCAATTTACTTCACTTATCTGAATTTTCTCACCTTAAATGATCTCCCTGTCTGCTTGTTTCAGAGGGGCCATTGCCACCTGATGACAGCCTTCAAAATCCCCCAGCACCAAAACGTTCCAGGACTGAGGAAATGCCTCTTTCTGCACCTGAACCTCAAACCACCTCTGATCCAGACAAATAAGGGCTGAGCTTATTCAAACAAAGAAGCTTTTAGCAGGCTCTTCCCAGTCTGAAGTCAGTGCAGCCACATCTGAGTGCATTTCCTTTTGCAGCTGTTAAATCCTCAATTCCCAATTCAAGTTCCCTGTGCATATTTGCTGTGGCACTGTGGAGGACCTGCCAAGTAGAAGACACAGGTTTCAGGAATGTAGTTTTTGCAGAAAGAAGAAATAGTTGGGAAGTGACTTCAAGAAATGCCAGAGCTTAAGGAAATCAGGGAAATTTGGGTATTTAAAAAGCCATCCAGTAACCTGCAAAGTCTCCATCAGAGCCCCTAAATTCGTGTTTACAAAGCATTATGTCTTCCAGTAACCTGTGTGGCACGAGGATAGAATGTATTCATAGGATCTGATGTGGTTTAAGACCTAAAAAAAGAGGAAGTGGTGTCATTCCAGCATCTTGGCTTCTTTGTTGGGCAGAGTGTCAAATAATTCCCCTCAGTACCTGTGGAATGGGAGCTGATGGTCGGGGTGCAACACAGATCAGGGCTGAGGTGACTTCAACAGAAATGGAAAGTTTGAACTGCAAGAAACAAGAAAAGGCAAAAGGAAGAAACCCTCTGGGGACCTGGTTTGGAATTAAACAGCAGGAAAAAAAAGTTCTTAATTGTTTAGTTTCTGTGTTTAAAAAAGAAATGCAGGCAGGAGATTTTTCCTGAGGCAGCAGGATTTGAGTTGCAGACATTAGAAATACCCCCTTTTTCCTTTTTCAAAACTTAACTCCCTTAGCCAATAAAATACACCACAATGTATGTATGTGTTCATATTAAACCTCTTTGACTTTTAATTCTTCCCTGGATTTGGTTGTGTAATTAATTAGTGCTTGTTTTCTGTCATCTTCTAAGAGAGTGGACTGATATTTAGAAAAGCAGAAATAGTTTTATAAAGTGACTCATAAAAGTTTCACAGGGAGGAAATATTAACAAATACCTGTGTCAGTGTTTCAGATAAATGAATTATGTTGTCTACAAAGAAATTTCAACAATAATAAGCAAAGAGTCATAGGAAATTCGTGGTGGCTTAGTTTTCAGCCACTTTATGTCCCAATTCTGCAATCTGTTACATTTATATAACATCCATTCTTTCCAAAGAAATAGTTCCTATTTTTTTCCAGCTTCCTTCCAAGAAGCCAGGGCTTGATTTCTTAGGAATTGTGTTTTATAATCACCTGAGGAAAGTTAATCCGTGCCTTGAGAGCCTTTTTTCTGCTGGGAGATGCAAAATGATAAACCTGAAATGCCACGTTCAACCCCAACCTTTCCAAGACTGTCCTGGAATTCTTGGGCATCATTTCGGTCGAGCAGGTCCTTGAAGAGGTAAGGGGAGAAATAGAGAAGATCATCTCCAGTGTAACAGTTTAAACTCTCAGTCCATGACAGGTCTTTTCCTTGATTGAGTTACTGCTAATTAAAATCATGAGGATCTTTTGCTCTTCAACAAAAACATGTGGAGGTCCCACCCTAAAATCCAAATATTTCCATGAACCACTGAACTGACCAGGCCTTGTTTCACATGGATTCACAGGTAACTGCACTGGGGGTTTCAAATAGACTTTGCAGCTTTTTAGGTGGGTCTCCAATAGATTTTTCAACTTTTTAGCTGGGTTTCAGGTAGATTTTGCAGCTTTTAAGATGGCTAAAGATTCATGACTTGTCTTGCTCCTGGAAAGACTTCCTGCTGTGTCACAGTGGTTAGTTTTTAGACAGCCAGTCACGGTGCTATTGATGTTAAATTTTTCTGCTCTCCATATATATGTATATTTATATATCTTGTAATTATTTAACCACTGCCTTTTGGTCAAAATCTGTTTGATACTTGCCTGTGGATTCAAAACAGACTCTGTATTTTGTATAAACACAGGGAGTGTGCACACAAACGTTGTTACCAACTAAATAGCATAAAATAAAAACTTGTTATCAAGAAGAGCAGCTTTTTGAAGTAACTGCATTGTCTGTGTGTTTTCTGCTCTGGCAGTGTCAGGATCATGAAGAGGAGGCAAACTGGAGTTCTCTGACCATGGGTTCCACGACATCAGGATTTGTTAGCTGAAACCTTTCTGCTTTTCACACCCTTCTGTCCTTCCTGCCCCTGCAAACATTTCTTCTGTTGCAGTTCAAACCAACACCAAATTTCAGGGTGGAATCAGAATCATTGTGGTTGGAAAAAGACCTTTTAAGATCAAGTCCAACTGTCAGCCCAGGTTAAGGTTCACCATTAAACCTCAAGTGCCACATCCACACGGTTTTTTGAACATTTCCAGGGCTGGGGACTCCAAACCTCCCTGGGCAGCCCCTTCCAGGGAGAAATTCCTCCTGACCACCCTTTCCAGGGAGAAATTCCTCCTCCTGTCCAACCTGAGCCTCTCCTGGCACAGCCTGAGACTGTTCCCTCTCTTCCTGCTCCTCATTCCCTGGGAGCAGAGCCCGACCCCCCTTGGCTCCCCCCTCCTGTCAGGGAGTTATTCCTTGCTTGTTAAAAAGGAGGAATGTGTAGGTGGAAATGGAGGTGGCTGGGAGAGGAAAAGTCACAGCTATGGATTAATTTGAGCTGGGATGCAGAGAGAGAGTTGAGAAGGAGGAGAAACTGGAATTTGGGGAAAGGAAGTGGATGGGAAGCTGAGTTCTGGTTGCAGGGAGGGAGTTTTGTACCATTGGGGTCACCAGTTGTGATCCTTCTTACCCAGGAGTGGGTTTTACCTGGGTTTATTTTTCCTTCTAGGCTGAAAAGGCTCTTTTCTTGCCACTAAACTTCAGTTTTGCGCTCTCCTGCCAGCAGGTGACAGTGTTACCCAAAACAAGGCAAACGAAGCAGAAATCTCTCCTCCAAACTTACATGTACTGGAAGACATTTCTTCTTTATTTCTTTTTTATTTATTTATTTTATTAAAAAGTGATTATTTTTGGCTTATTTCCACCTGGGGAAGAAAAAAAGAGTTGTGTAAAAAGACTTTTACAAGGGCCTGGAGTGACAGGACAGAGGGGAATGGATTCAAATTGATAGGTTTAGATGAGATATTGGGGAGGGATTCTTCCCTGTCAGGGTGGTGAGGGCTTGGGATAGAATTCCCAGAGAAGCTGTGGCTGCCTCTGGATCCCTGGAAGTGTCCAAGGCCAGGTTGGACAGGGCTTGGAGCAACCTGGGCTAGTGGAAGGTGTCCCTGCCCGTGGCAGCAGGTTAGAACTGGATGATCTTTGAGGTTCCTTCCAACCCAAACCATTCCGTGATTCTCCAGGTATTTTTACCTGCTTGTTCCAGACACACCTGCCTGGGAGATCTCCCAGCCCTTGCTTGGCAGCAACAAACCCTGAAGCAAAATCCCCACGTTTGGTGCCAATCATCCTCCTCCCTGAGCAGCCCAGAGCCCCAAAGAGCAGCTCTGTTCTCCCTCAGCTATGGGATTTTGGGACTCTGATGCCATTTCCGTGGGTGCTGAGGCTGCCCTGACCTGGCTGCTCGAATCTTCCTGCTCTCCCACCTCCCACTTCCATCCAGGAGAAGGTCTTCCATGCCCCCTGATGATCTCTGTGTGCCCCGTGGAGCCTCCCTGGTATCCTGCCCCCGGTGCCAGGGCTGCGGGTGCCCGAACACCAGCAGGAACGTGCAAACTGGGAGCAGTTCGGTTTTCCCTTTCCCTGCCTGCCAACCCAGCATATGCCAGCGTTTTCCTGGAGCCTGGAAGCCACTTGCAGCCCAAGTGATATTGCTGAGAATCCTGCTGCTCCTTCCCTCAGCTGGAAATCCCAGAAAGCCACGGCCCTGAGGCCTCTTGGCCTGCAACCCGAGAGGGTTTTGCCTCTTAGGGCATGAATAATTAAAAAGGTTCACAGATTTCCCTCTGTCTGGAGACTGGTCATAAACTGGGGCTCTTCCAGGGACTGAAAACCTGACCCTGGTGCTCTTGAAAGGAGAAGAACCTGTTTGTTGTCTTTCAACTTGTTGCCATCTTTTCCATGAGGGTTGGTTGGTGTTTAATTCCCCCAAAATCCTCAGGTTTGGGATTTCTTTGTGCTCTGATTATTATCCTGTGACCCAGTTATTTAAATCTGCTCTTAGGTTCAGTCTATGCATCAAGCCCACCTAGACTAGCACAGACTGTTTCTTATGTGGGTGTCTTTTGTATTTTTCATTTTAAATGCTTTCCTTGCTACAGGTTTAACCAGAAAAGCTTAATTTTGAAGGCTACTATTTCCATGAAATTCCTCTGTGGATTCTCCCCCCCGCCCCATGATGTGAATCTTAAGCAAAATGATGATAAATTGTGATGATAAATAATGTCAGGGTTTGTCTCAGTATAAACTTCCCCCGTTTAGCCAGGAAAAGTAAATAAATAAGCTGGGCAGGCATTTCTGTTTTGATTCCAGCCAAGCTGAAATAAGGAATTCTGAAGTGTTGTTTGCTCAGGGAAATGGAAATGGGCCAGGTTGGAATGGGAATGGCTGTGGCTATCTGTGGGATCTGTTTAATTGAACTTGTTTAAAGTGGTAGTTTGAGCTGCAGGAGCCCGTGGATGTTTTTGTTTTCCCTTTTCCTGGCACCACAGTGGGGTTGCACCAGCTGGATGTACTTATAAATCAACAGCAGGGCAGGAAAGAAGGTATGGATTTACTCTGCAAGGAGAAGAGGGGGAATGTGTTGGCTGTGTGCTCCAGTGTTCTGGATTCTGACCCCACAAAAGCGCTGCACCTCTGCTGTGGGGTGGATGATTGCAAGGAGGCAGAGTCAGGAGCCAAAAATCAGTGTTCCTTGCTTGGATCTGCAGGAACAGCACAAAGGAGTCTCCTGCTGCCATGTTTTTCCAGACACAATGTGTAATTTCGAGCAGACAGTGCAGTAACGGGGATTATTGTTCGTGGCAATCTGTTCCTTGGATCCTCCACAGCAGGAAAATGTGTGTGTGTGAAACAACTGCCCAGACACTGTTCTTCCACCAGGGAAAGGGGAACGCTTTGCCAACACCTGGGATGGCAGGGAATGCACCGTTGTTTCTGTTCACTGTCCCTTTCCAAGGAGTTGGAAGCAATTTTCCAAACAAATCATGGAATCACGGAATGGTTTGGGTTGGAAGGGACCTTAAAGATCATCTCATTCCAAGCCCCTGCCGTGGGCAGGGACACCTTCCACCAGCCCAGGTTGCTCCAACCTGGCCTTGGACACTTCCAGGGATCCAGGGGCAGCCACAGTTTCTCTGGGCAACCCGTGCCAGGGCCTCACCTCCCAGATGACATTGGAAGTTTGCAATGACCCAGGAGTGTTTTCCAGCACACTCACACTTTCTTTTCCTACAAAATTGGCAAATCTAAGTGGTGTTTATATTATTTTCTGCCAGGAGCTGAGATTTCTTATCAGGTGACAGGATCTGGCCTCATTTTTGGTAGATTAAGTACGAAGAATTTTATTTTTTCAACTTGCTAACTAACTAATATCCAGCCTGTCTGATGTGGGCTATGGGAATTCCTTTCCTTGGATGTTCTTTGTCAGTATGGAAGGGCTTGGTGTGATGCTGCAGAGAAGGGATTGGACTGGAGAGGGAGAAAACATAATCAAATTACTGAAAATCACAAATTATTATAGCAGTCATAAGATTAATTAATTCAGGGTTTGGAACATTAAAATTTACTTAAAAGCTATTTCAAGTGTGAAGGGCACTAGATTGCCTCCTTGTCCTTTTTAATTCCTTCTTTCTTTCTGCACTGAGAGGTGATTTTTACTTTTCAGTTTGTAGCTTCTGCTTGGATAACTCAAGATGAATTTTGCAGTGCAGTTTTAAACCCGACCTATGAATCCACGAGGATAAGAATCGCAGTGGAAGGGGTGTTATAACCTTATTTATTGTACACACATTCTTGCTGTGTAACTACTGCAACAAAGGGCTAATTATATTCTGTAATGGCAACAACTTCAATTGCTGTCTCCTCATTTTAACAGCAGAATCCAGGTGCAATCTGCTTTCTGGTGATTAATAAATTCAGGATCATGCCCCGAGCCTTTGCTGAGAGCAGCCACATGATGGCAACATTGCTAATCTTTAACTTCATTTAACCAGCTTGCCAGGCCTGGTTTTGAATTCAGAACAAGGCATGGAATTCTGCTGGAACACTGACATTCTCTGGTTTTTAGAGGAAATCTTTCTTTCAGGGTTTGACTTGGAGAGGGACTTCTCACAAGGGCCTGGAGTGACAGGGCAAGGGGGAATGGATTCAAACTGACAGAGGGATATTGGGAAGGAATTCTTCCCTGTGAGGGTGGGGAGGGGCTGGGATAGAATTCCCAGAGAAGCTGTGGCTGCCCCTGGATCCCTGGAAGTGTCCAAGGCCAGGTTGGACAGGGCTTGGAGCAACCTGGGCTGGTGGAAGGTGTCCCTGCCCATGGCAGGGGTGGGACTGGATGATCTTTGTGATCCCCTCCAACTCAAAGGGGTTTCATACCGTGAAACCAAACCACTTTATGAGACACCCTGTGGGTCTCAGCTCAGCACAGGCAGGTTTTTAACAGGCAGGAGGAGAAAATGCTACTTTCCTCTTTTTTTTTTTTTCTCTTTTTTTCCCCTTCCCCCCCCCTCCTCTTTTATGAGCTGCAGTGGAACCTGTAAAAGGCTCGTCCCCAGTGAGAACCAGGCAATTTCTGGACTGGTGCAACTATGAAACAGGAGAACAGGATCTGGCACCAGGGAAGGAGCTCGACCAAGTTTAAGCAAAATCTTCATTAACGTCCTCAGATCCTCAGAGTGATAGACACGGGTGAGTTTTGATGGAGACTGGAAGAAAAATGTGTTCTTTTAGCCAAAGTAACTCTCATCTCCACAAGCATTTTGCTGGATTGTTATTTGAATGGCTGTTTAATGTAAAACATGCAACCTGCTCTAATAAGAGCACATTCATAATTTCTAGCATGAGAGCCCTGTCCAAAACTCACTTGGCTT